CAGTGCAGTAGAAAATGCATGCTATACTTAAATAAGACATATATTTGTCAAAGAACAAGAAGTTCCAAACAGCAACTTTGAATTTCCAAACTTCGTGGCCTAAGCTTAAGTAAACTCAAGCAAACTTGTGCCAATGCACGCCACTAACTGTATAAAAAAGCTTTTTGGATGCGTGGAAGAATTGCCACGAAGTGGAAGGATTTTCTTTCATTTCCGCTGTAGTTTTACGTTGAGACTAGTTATTGCTTAAAAATTTCATAATTCATCCACACGGCCTTGTTAGCATAGTACTGAACTGGTAAATTGTCCATTCTCAGACCTTAATGTGACCCAGCTTTTCAGTTAACTCCTCTGACTTATATTTTAAGATTCTACCAATAAAAGGTACACCTTGTCCAGTTACTATAGATAACATATGATTGAGGATCTCAGCAACCTTCCATGCTTTGTTTTATGGATTTTTCCCGTTATCCATGCATAATGCTCATTCTTCTCACAGTCTAATTAGTTGGCATATCTGTATGTATTCCTGATAATACGACCAAGTTGCAAAAAGAGAGGTCAAACCACTTCTATACAACGAAGAGATACAGCAGCATACTATCTTGATATGCACACTTTCCAATCGTGATAGTTTTCACGATCGAACTGTTCTAATTACTTACCGATGAAAAGGTGGTTATTGAACCATGCATTTAAACGTGAAGTTTATCGTAAACTTCACAAGATTAGTGAGGTGATCTTTTATGCACTAAGAAACGAAAGTAAAAACATATTTAAAATTAAAGCAAATAATACAAAAAAATGTGTATGAAGCTTGCGTTCAAAGCCAAGAATCACAATTTAACTAGTGCACAATGTTGGTCTAAGCGAGTCTTGAAAGCTTCCAAGTGAATGTAAATGATTTTACTAATTCAAAGAGTGTGGATAAATAGTGCTCGGATTTATATCCGATTCACAATTCCTGTACAGGAATACCCTTCGCAAAACAGGATAATGCTCGGAAGACTTTGTAATAGCAAAGGAAGACTTAATTAGACAACACAGCCAAAATTTGAACCTATTTCGTATAGATTTATCATCGCGCTGCCCGCCAACAACAAGCCCACCACAGAATGTAATATTCGAAAATGCCTGAACTTCGCTTAAATTCACATTGCGCTGTGACCCAAGGGCACTCGTGGTAATCTTAAGTAGTGGCTAACGTGTCGAGATCATACTCTGTACTATCAGGATTCGAGTGCCGATAAGAACGCCTTTTGGGAAGCAAGGATATGTAAAATTAAATGGAAATATAAAGTCTAGCTATACAATTGTGGAAAAATTCAACTACCAGTCTTTCATCACTTGCAACGAGATAGAATGAACGCATCTTATATATTTGAATAATTGTATAGAATTATAACATTGGAAGTTAAAAATCAGAGCTCTCACCACTTGTCAACTGGCTATTAGAGGCAGATGCTGAGTGTGATGAGACTGTGTCTTCGATTATATGATCGTGTGGAGGAAGAGTGACACTCGGGCCATCCGAATTTATCACCATCGATGCCTTAGAGATGAGAGAGCAGTCAGACTCAGGTGGTGCAGACGGTTCAATCCGAGGACCAAGATGAATAGAAGTGCCTGGATGGAGAGGAGGAGGCGAAAGGACACCAACCAAAGAAGATCGAGTATCCGCCCTATAGGAGAGGGAAGGAGAATATTAAATAGAAGTCATAGAGAAAAAGGTAAATTTATTAATTGCTAAGTTTATAACATTATCTTTAATAACGTATTATTTTTAATCACAAACTAGGCATGCAAAAGTGATAAGTTAAAATAATTTCCCTATTGATTAGCTCAAATGTAATAGCCATAGATATCAACGAAAATAAGGCATTTTTCGCTGAATTTGACCATCGTAATTTTTCACCATTATGATATACAACTAAAACTACCATAAAAACGTATTTTTCAGTATTTACAACAGTTTTTAACTTTTTAAAATCTCATCCTATTAACTTGCCAGGAAATTATTTTCTTAGTTATAGTATATCGATTGGACAATTTACAAGAAGTTGAACCATATATATATATATATATATATACACACACACGTGCGTGCATACAGTCGGGCAGAAGTAGCAGGACAAATAGAAGGATAATTAGCCAAACCATTATGTCTATCCATGCCTATTCATTTTCCTTTTTTAGTTGAGTAAATATAAGAGGTAAGAGAACCGAATAGTCTTCTTTGCCTAGTGTTAACGTAAGACTTCTACAAGAATGAATCTCAGCTTTGATGATGTCACTCATATAATGAACGAAAGCTCAGCCCCTTTTCACCCGTGGCGAGGAAGGAAGTCTCGTGGATTACGTCAACCTGAATTTTGTATTAAAGCCAAACGTCTACAGTACAACAGGAATCAGCCGTCGTCTTCTGGTGAGATCAACCTACTATTCTCTTCTTCATGAAAGTTTATACGAAATGAAGATCTTACAAAAAAGTGTTAGTTTAGGTTCATCGAAGCCCAGTTACTATTTGTATCAAGAGTAATTGTTTTTTACTTTTGGCTTACATCGAATACAATTTTTTAATATTATTGAGATATCAATTAACAGGTAGAATCTTAGTAAAAAAATTCCTCATTCCTGATAAAATAAATGTACCAACTATTCCTACTTTTAGATGAAAGCTCGAATGCCATTAATTAATCGAATTTACTGACTGATATGAAGAAAAACTTTGGTTCGAAAAATTCCTTAGTGATATATTGACATGACTTTGCAGTTCGAAGAATAAGTTGGTTGGAAAGATTTGGTGATGTGGTCCCACCAGAAAACCGAAGGAGGATTGCAAACCCACACACGAGATAGGAAGATCGTACGCTAATCTATTAGTGTAAAGAAATAGCTGCGCATTTCCGGTTCGTGAAGTAACTTTATTTATCTGCAAACATATACAGAAAGGTTGAGGTAGCCAATCAAATTATGGGATGCCTCATTAAGATCGCCAAGCTAGGTATCTAAAAAAGCGACTAGAGTTGCAGCCGGCCAACTTTAGACTTGGTTTAGTATATTTTTAGCATATTTTGTAATGTATGGATTCCTGCACTGAAGATGTCTGGCCTAGTACAGATGAAAGCTTAACACTGTTCATCGAGGACTTCTTCACACAATACAATCTTTCCTATGCGGCAATCCTCCTTCGGTTTCCGGTAAGACCACATTACGAATTCCTTCTAACCAACTTTTGCTTCGAAATGGAAGGTCATGAGATAATTTTCTGAACATCAGAAGAAAAGAGGGAAGTCGGGCAAATAAAGGAATGAAGGCTGAAAGACTGGCCTTACACAACGGAACAGTATTCGGGCAATGCCACGCCATGCAGGCTATAGTAATAGCATTATAATTCAGAATAAAAAAATTCCGAAACTGTTGCCAAATAAAGTCAACTCTTAATTGAACGTGATTTTAGACCTAAACGAAAGGCAAGCAATTGGAAGAGCTATAACAAAGTGTGTATGAAAAGGGCTTAGTGGTCGAATAAAAAAGTTAATGCATTTTGCAGAGTAATGGTGTGGCTATTATTTAGAATCTTGTCGAATACGCCATTTAGCAAATCTACAATTAAATTAAGTGAAAATAAAAGCCATTAGATAATAGTAGATACCAGTAGATTAAAATTCAGGAATTGACAAAAAAAGCATAGACATAAATATGTAGTAAAATTGCTCAATTTTCCAGAATGTCATGTATATAGAGAATAAAATGGTAAGCACGAGAGGAAGACAAAAATATAATCGAATGTGATTATAACTAAATACGTTATTAAGCGGGACAGCAATGAAATACGAGGTATACTACGATCGGCCAACAAACTATCATACAGGCCATCTATTGAGCAGATGCTGACCCAATTATTAATGCTTAGAAGGCAGAATACAAGGAGACACTCAAGTAATTTTCAGCCTGCAGAAAGCTAATAACATTTCTTAGTTTAGATATAAGTAGTTTTGGAGACTATCAGTAGTTAATGAGCAAGAGCTTAGTCACCATTAGTGATTTAAGGATTAATAGTTAAGCCACTTCGCAAAGAGATGGGTAGGCCTCACTATGCCATTGAATTTCCTTTAGCCTAAAAGACTATCTGTAGTTTTGGCTTCACCCCACCGTCTCACATCAAAACCCTTAACGGGATTCGATACAGGGTCGTGAGTATCGTGGTCGTGAAGCGAAGTGGAGTGGTAAGATCACTACCATACCTACAAACCCAAATTGAATCCCGCTGCGAAGGCTGATGAGACCGAAGAGAGGTCGGAACTATATACCACTTCAAATTTTTGGGAGGCAAGGCTAAGCGAAATTCAGTGGCATCATGAGGCCTACCCATATCTTTGTAAGAAAACCCAATTATCAGCCCTTAAGTAACCTTATGCAGCCTAAGGTGACTAAGCACATACTCTACACACGTTCACCATAAACGGATGATATCTCAAGGGCTGTGACAACCAGAGCGTCTACGTAAAATCAAACAGCAGTGTATAAAGAGGAATCCGATGTCGTTATTCCAAGGTCTATCGGCGAAGCTACTCATCAAACATTAACACAGCTCAACAATGATAGAAATAGAGCGTGGACAGCTATATAATGAGCTTTAAAAAGCCTGACTACGCAGAAGAGAAGTTTAACTTGTGCATACGATTCAGAATCTTAGGAGATCCGCAGTTTGGTAATCCTTATTTAAAATTGAATACCATAATAATATTAAATGTAAATGTAGTTCCAGAATCAAAAATGGATGCGAGTCAGCAGAAGATTAAAACTAATACAAGAGGCAGCTGACTTGGGCTATTAGAATGAATGTAACGGACTAAATTAATAATGATTGCGATGTGGATTAATTAACTAATAGTATCGTTCACAAATGAAGGGAAGGCAGTGAACTGGTGCCCAAACAGACCAGTATCTGCGTATATATTGGCTGAATTAGCCAAAATAATTGATAAACAGTCTTAGTAATTGCGACTGGTGGTAGTAAGCTAAGTTACGATGGAGGAGGAAAGCTGCTTAGTGGGAGGTAGCTTCGAGAAGGGTCAACCCTTTGTCAATGCCTTAATCTGGTACAAGAAGGTCGTTAGTAGTTAAACCCCTAAATTATGGCCAAATGACCAAACAGTATCTAAAAGAAATGAAGAGAGAAATAATGATAATGGACAGGCAGGCCTAAATAAGATATCACCAGCATCAGTATATAAAAATATAAATGGATTTCTAAGGTGCACAAAGATCCATTGGAAATGAATATAAAAGATTAAATAAAATCGTGTGGTGGATAGAAAAAGGATGAAAATAAGCACATATATTCATAAAAGTTTTATATTGTAGATATGAAGACCAAGATGACATGGCCTTCTGTTTAGTCGCAATCTCCTTTAGCTCTATAGTACTGACTCGACCTATTTTATGCAACTTGGTCGGAGCGCCAGGGAAACTTTGTGGGACGTACCTAGTCCCGTGTCCTATGTCAGTATTCTTGATTTTCACCATTGGCCCATCAGTTGGGTATATTCTCAAACGTTTCGCCAGCATCGTAGCCGGCATCGTTAGTGAGAGGCGCCATCGTAAGAACAGAATTACAACTAATCAAAGTGACAAGCGAAGGCAATCTCCTTGACAAATTTTATTTTCAATCGTTTTTTGTTCTATCCTCTAGTGCCCTATCTCAACCCCACTTCATATGGCTCATCTACTTATTCGCATAAGTCTGTGCTCTCGTGTCCTCTAAGGTCGCAACAAGTGGGTTTAAGGAAGCG